CTCAGTGACTACGTACACTTTGGTACCATGCTATGTGTGTTATTTGATTGGGGGCCGTTACGTACACGCGTATCAAATAGATTAGTGGGTAACGTATTTGCCCCTTAATCTTTGGGACACGTTGTGATGTAGCTTGGAATCTGGGCATAGACAGATTTTGTTTTGTGCTGGCAACCAGCCGTCTCGGCGATATCAGATGTAGAACTAGATGCAGACGGCTGAACGTGAGGCGGATAACTAACTCAACAGGGACGAAAACTTTGGAAAATTTCAGTATGGAGGCATCGGGACTTCAAAGGCAAAGTCCACGAACTAAAATAAACGAACATTCTGCTGTTTCCAGTTTACTTGTAGACTAGCAAACATTAGATTAGGCTAATACTTATTTCTTATTATTGTATACAGCCAGCAATAGACGATGCTCATTGTGTTAAAATTAAATTCATTTTCGCGATGTTGTAGTAGTAATCTGTCTGCCTATTAAACTTCAGGATATGTGAGGTAGTCTAGGTTGGAAACAAGCGTTGACACGCTACGTTTCGTACTGAGAGCCTGTCGTTAGAAGAACGTAAAGACTCGAAAAATGTACCTTTTCCAAACCGGACGCCTTGCTTACCCGGTCATGTATATCTCTAACTCATTTTCAAGGATTCAAGCTAAACAAGTGCAATGGGATTGTAATGGTAAACTGAAGTGTAATGGTATTTTGCTTCGTGTGCCTAACGATTGGTTTGTTGATCCCGAGAGCTTCGTGTAAATATGAAGCGTTTCGTTCAACGTCAAGGAGTGCTGATATTCGCGTCTGCGAGACGATCACAGCTGTACGAACTTTCTTCATGCTTTAAGCCGGTACTAATTACTTCACGTGGCCGCGGCAGTGCGGCGAAGTTTGTCAAGTTGAAATCAGGCTGTGCTTAAAGATCAAAATTTACGATGGTCTGTGGCATTGAGAATGCAACAGGGGCGAATCGAAGAAAAAAAAAAACCTATAAAATGGCATCTATTCGAGTAAAAGGCTTCATGATGACATATGTTCGAGATAACTGTCTTAAGATATTTGGTAGGCCTTGTCTCGTCCGGCGTTCGGCCAACCTATCAGGTATTCCACAGATCCCTTTTCGAGTACGGTACGTCTAATGATCTGACGTCTAATGAGTGTTTTTCCGCACGTCTGTTGGCGTACAGTAAACGTTGTCACTGGCGGCTGGCCTCTTCCACATTTTTCACATCCTATCTTAACGCTGTTGCGCTTCCATTTTGTTGTTTGTTTATACATACAAATCTCTTTTACAGATCCAGTCAGTAGAGGTTTGTCTAGGCACCGATCCTTTACCTTTGTTTTATCGATCACTGTGCCGTTGCGCGATTTCGCCTAGTACCGCCATTAAATCGAACGTTCCATCAAACCCTACGATGAAGAAGCAGCCAATGGTCATAGCGTCATTGCTACAAACAAATGAAAATCAAGTGGCGGCAGCAGCTGCAATGCCGCGAATTATGAATGACTCGATGGAGTGACGGACGCGTCCCGATTCTAATTATTCTGAAGTTCGCTGTGGATGTGCGAGCGGTCGCCGCCGTACAGCATGAAAGCACAGATCACCAATGGCAGCAGTGCTTGATGATCACATACTTTGTTTCTGCTGTTGCATTTTGCCAGTGTCTTCGACGCTTTTTTTATTATCCCTCATGATCCTGATTAATGACTGTCCGATCAAGGTACGCGCCGACCGAGATCTCGCGGTTATCGTTATTTTTTGAGTCGAATTGCAGCTGCAGGTCCAGCAGCTCAATGTTGTACATACAGAGAAACGCAGACACCGTACACGCGTACATATCCTTTAGCGTAATACTGCCACGACTGATATCTGTTGTCCGAAATGGCTGTCGTTTTAGTGGTATCGCTGAATCGGTCATGTTGCTTGTTCTGTTACAGAAAAAGAAAATGGGGCAACACAGGCTCATTCCCCAACCTGTCTACCTATACCGTTAGGATGTTCTGAATTCGGCTTCCGATGACTTTCACTAAGTGACGAACATGCCTGTATAAAGATGAGTACGACAGATGTCAGTTATGGGCGTCGGTGCTATTTGGACCAATATTCGACGCAGAAATAAAGACAGGTTTAGTCATCGATGCAAACCACAAACGTGTCCATAGTGCAACATCGCTAGGGCTGGGTCTTGTTGGAAGTGGTCAAGAGGCTTCGGTCCGGAGAAATCGGTGGGCCCGTTTTTACCAAACGCTGTGATAAAAGGATCCAAATGCAATAGAATCACTGATGCTACGCTAAAATATGGACAACAGTAATTCATGTATATTTTAAATTGTACGCGAATTTATGCGTCGTCATGTGGCCATATCCCTTCACAGCCACAGAATATCGGTGTTTAAGATCCGTTTTCATAATAAAACGAAGAGATATTTGGTTATCTTCTATCGTGGATTATAGAACTGTGTATACACTGTTGGGACCGTAAACAATTACCCCTACGGATTTTTCTATTTGCAACTAGAAAAATGTGGACCCATACGAAATTTTTGCTTGCATTTTCCCATCTTTTAGTGATGCCACGTTCTAATAGACAAAAAACTATCGCCAACTTGTGGGTATACTGCACCATTCGAAGCGAAGCTTCTGCTATATGTCTTCGATGTTTTGGTCTCAGCATGTCAATTTAATTTAAAAAATTCGTTCTTTATGACAGTGACAATGGAAAAATTAAGTGTGTATGAATAATAAGGGCAAATGACGTTACGCAAACGGTTTACGAGGGGCAATTTCTTTGAGAATGAACATCCAAAGCTGTACTCTAACACGTGTAACTGTTCATGTACAGGGTAGTCAGGGCTTTTTGGAACAGTATCTAAATAGAAACAAGTATTCCAACGAGGTTTTTTACCCGTACGTCAAGTGTCAGGTATGGCGGACATGTTTATTCAATATAACTACTGTTCATATCATTGGCAGTTTATATTAAAATACTTATTAGCTATCTTCAGAATGATCTTCTATATCTTTTTTAGTAATAGTCCTGAAATAGATGATATTAGCAAGTGCAGACACGGTAAGGATCACTAAAATACGCAAGCGCAGATGCTCGTACGAAGACCTTCGGTCGTTGTATTCCGAAGACGAACATTTACCCTCCGTCATGCTGACTCGAAAAAAGTATTTCTAAATTTAAAAGAAGCATTGCGCATACATATATTGATATGTATATATATATATATATATATATATATACACATACTGTATCAAGTTAACTAGAAAATAGCTCTAACAGCTTTTGTGATCGTAGAAAAATATCACTATGACGAATGTGACATATTAGCAAAGAAAACTGGGTTTGGGCTTAACGCTTAACGATAGATTATAGTATAAACTGGCGCTGCCTCGCGGACCTACGACAACATATGCTGGAGCGCCCCCCGACGCCCGTGAGCAGGACGCCAAGGCCGCTCACCAGTGTACTGAAGAACCAGTTACCTCATACCTTAACAGGAAACGAATTAAAATTGCTTTCATAACATAACCTGAGTAAAAATCGTAATTATAAACAAGTTAAAAATAATAATCGTGGCTCACCTTCTATCCCATTGAAATCATTGCAGCATTATTTCGAACGGTGTTTCAATAATAATTTGAAATACATTACGTAGTATTTTAAATAAGCGGCTCTTTATTGACATGCTACATCTTAGTGTACTATCTTACTTTTGTCTGTGTCTATGTTGGTATGTATGAGCAAGCGTAACTTTATTACAATATGTTTTTTGTGTTTAGCTTTCGTTCGGTTGGCTCACGTTGGATCGCCTGATATATCTGATAATAACAATCACATCGAGAAAATTGTACGACCACAATAAGAAGTGACTGTATTATTTATAATAACTTATATGAGGCTCTCTCGTCTGACTTGCTGAGGGTGGGTGTGTATCTGACATGATGCTGACGTACCTAAACATGAGCGTGCATGTCCATTCCGTACTTATATTGTTTAAGCGTTCACCGTACTCGTATTAAGGTGATCGCGCTCAACGGGCTCAGAAAGCGACGTGCCACATAGGCGGACACGTGCTAACATTACTACCTCACTAAAGGTTTAGATAGATAGCTGACGTGGTGTGTCCTCTCTTGTTTTCTATTGAGAACACCTATTCTGTTAGCGTGTTTCGTCTGTGTCTATGTTCGCAGCTAGCTGGATAGCCCAGAGCTACCGTTTCTATAGTGATTAGTTCGCCGCTGGTGCCTAGAGATGATCTCTAGGTGTTGATAGTATTGTTTCTGATAATTGTTACCGTTGTCTGTAGCTGAATCGCTATAGGCGTTCCTGTTCTTAGTTTTTTCTCCGTCTAAGAGCATACCATTAGCACCATAAGCCAACAACGAGCGGTTATCGTCGACCATTTGTTTCGACACGAGAAGCAGCTAGCTTGTTGTCCGCCTATATGGACCACTTGAGTCCATGATACTAGCCCGCATTAGCAGGATCCGACATCGGACACCGTATGGCTCGCTCACCCAACTATATGGATCAGCTCGGAACAGCCTGGAACTACTGTTTTTGCTATGAAACAATTAGTACCGCCGCGTCGAACGATAGCGCGCACGGTTAGATCTAACATACTACGCCACCGCCTCAGTCAACTAATAAAGCTGGCTCCAGAGAAAAAGGTAGGGAGTTGAGTTGACAGAAAAAGCAGAGCGTTAATTGTGATCATGGGGCCGCACGGCGTACAGAGTGGTAAGAACGAGCGTGGTCCGGTGGCTTACGGCCGTCGGTTGCGTTCCAGTCAGTAAAAAAAAATTGACGACGTTCAATGATTGATGATTTTTTACTGATTGGCTGAGCTTATTTTTGTCGATCGGGCATTTTTCTATTTCTATTTACAACATTCAGTTATTTATCAGATATTTTATTGTGGTTCACTTCGAAATGGTTTGGAATCGACCTCTATTATTCCGACTAGAAAATCTATGAGGTTATACACATACCGTGATTAACTCAGGGTTCTACCTGTTGTCGAATATCCTTTCGTCGTCATTTTGTCCTTCACGACATTAACTTTTTGCTTAAATTGATCCAACTATGATGACTGTGTTACCGTTGCACTGGAAGGTGTTCATTTCCAGAAAACCAGATCTAGCATGTCCCGCTAAACGGGCGACTTTCTTTTTCATCATTTGGTCGCTCGCTACAAGCTTCCGTGCTTTCCTATTACGATGTACCACACTATCATATAGCACGCTGAATCATCCACAACCTGCACTATCGAAGTTTTAACTGCTTTTTTCGCATCTTATGCTCATAAATGAGCCGAACTGTTCAACTTTCCCTATGACGACACAAGTCAACTTCCTTTGCAGCGTCTTGTTAGCACACCACATTGTGGCGGCCGAGTTAGACAGCCGACGAAATTGTCATGTAACTCTAATAAGCGTGTCTGTGGCTCATGTGCTGCCCGTTCCACTCTCGCGCTTAAATCTGGCGCCTTTTATCTGTTTTCACAATTGCCGCCACAACACGTACAAGATGAACAGTCTCAGCTGCCCACCTATGCGCTTCGCAAGCATCCATCTGCATCGTTTGTAGCAATACGGTTTTCTATTATTGCCTCGAACTCACAGGGCCATCTGCGATCGCTACCAGATGTATGGTAATTCGATGCAAAACGCTTGTAGTTGTTGGTGTTTTAACTAAGCTGCACCTACACAATGCGACAGCCATGTACAGAATGCGTGTTGCGGTCGACAATGGTAGTGTCACCCATAAGCTAAATAAACCTTCCTGCAACAGCGAGTCCGTGGTGATGGTAAATACTTCGTAAATGGAACAGTCTCCGTTCTAGGACTGATTTGGTCCAATGACTTAATAACGGTGTCCCGCTAGAACCTCAGTAGGAAGCACCTTTAAGTCAATCTCTCAAACTTTAAGCGCCTCTTATAATAATAATGACGCTTAGTAATCTTGGGGGGTAGTCAAAGGTGTGGCTGAAGTACGTTGGCGTATCTTTAGTTCTTGAATCGCGTTCCGTAACGCGTTTGTCGGGCTCGGTTGATGAAAATGGATGATTATGGAATTCAAAAAGCATGAAGTGGAATAGCCGACTCGCCCATGATAGGGGCCTGATCCGTCGATATTGTTGGGGAACTAGCCTGGATTGGTACCATCGATATCTTAGAGGCAAATTGTTGGCATTTTTGTTCCTGGTCACTGAAAGCAGTCATCAACTCCCAGGCGGAGGAGCCTCGTAAATGAATGCTTACAGCATCTTAGAACTTGACAGCGAATCAAACATGCTCTGCCCTATCGGCTCTGTGCTATCTTTATGTAAGTGACTATTATTTTGACAGTTTATTTCTATCGCGATAAGGCTGAAATTTTAAACATCTCTGGAAATCTTATACGATTCGGTTATTGGTAACAATCCTTAGTTTGATTTTAGCAAATTCTCCGCTACAGTCCGCTCCGTCTTAGTAATATCGGCAAAGGCATAGCTTACATCTATGTACGGTCAAGTATGGCTTCGCGAGGATTAAACAAAGTGCTGCGAACGAAAACTTTTTGTATGGAAGAGTATTTACTGAATTCTAGGGCTTTTGGAAGTAAATATATTGTATCAGAACATCTGCAATGGATCGAGGATGCGGAACCTTGGAAAATACCACACAGATCGCCAATATTGGTAGCAGCCTAGTATATTGCCTAGTATATATAATAAAAACTAAAAATTAGTTAATTATAAAATGACAAGATGCTGCTGGGTGCCTTAATTAATAGTAATAGTAACAATATTCTCAAGTACAATCCAATGAAAAATTGAGAAAATTAACAATGGATGTTTTTGTGTGGAATTTCTGTAGTAGAATTATGATTATACATTTAATAACGCTTTACCGAGTAACAACAACAGTCAAATGCTATAGGGCTTTGCATGTTGTTCGGAGGTGCTACTGGGTTATGGAACCGAGGTGAATTTGTTGAACTTCTGTAGTTCCTAAAAAGCCCTTGGCGTAACAAACCCAAATACGTTAACATGTCCATAAATTGAAAAAGCACTGCCTTTCGCATTAGCCCCTATTGACACTAGCACTAATACTGAAGCAAGAATAAGCAAAGATAGGTATACGCATCTCAGGGGTGGTAGTTTACAATCCAGTTAAGGTGGAACAAAAGAGGCAACCTACAATATAGGTGGCAAACATGTAGGTTAACGGTCATTCATGTCTAATAAAGGTAAACAGATAGTGATTACTAAAACTATTTACATAGCCTACAAAGATGGCGGCACTACACCAGTCGTTCAGAGTAAGGCTCGTGGTGATATCTGTTTATCAGTGTCTGCATATTTATTTTTTTTCTGAAATTAACCTATGGACATGGTTTTCTAGTGTGCACTGGCTACTTAGTGACAATAGTGTCTAGTATTTAGTATGCTTGATAATCTTCCTGAAAAATGCTTCCTAAAATTAGGATCCTCTTATCTGAGTCCTCTGTGTGCCTGTAATAAAATCCAAATATCACTCGCACGACGTCTTTTACATAATTGCTTATATACGCTATATCGATGTCCGTAAGAAACGAGTGACGTATTTTTCATGTACAACCGTTTCAAGAGCAATGGCCGTACTTAGGCCCTATTAACACTGGTACTGAAAGCAACAGTTCGACCTTAACGAGCCCGGCCAAAAATATTGAGTCACTCGTTTAGAATGCTTTGCTAGCTTTTTGGTAAATCTATTTGGAAATCTAAGCTGTGATTCATACGGACTACGCAATGGAAGCATCATAAACACTTAGTAAATCCACGTATTAGGTATACGATTCCAAAAACTCTGTAGAGATTGCGTTATTACTTAATCGGTTACTTTTGACTTAGGGAAAACCTGAAATATCTTTGTATTTGACTTTTTTTTTTTTTGTTATTAACTCAATTAACACCTAAATGATACTGCTTTTACAGAAAACTGGTCACTCAGCAACACATACATACATATAAAATGATCGTTCATTTGGGTTATTCAGCAACGTATTTTCTTATCGTATTTAAAACAAGCATAACCTTAAAAGTATAAACATGAATGAATGTTTTTATTTATTTATTTAAACAGCATCATTTGTTGCATACTCGTTACGATCTGAATAGCCTGCTATGTTCAATCCGTGCGGATGTGCTATCCGTGTAAAAATAGAAAAAACGTCAAGTTTTACTATAGCGTCACTTATTAATCTATCGTCACAAAATTATTATAAATTTTCTCACTAACGACTGGTTAGTAAGTGTCAAACTGACCCCCCGGTGTCTACACACTAAGGTAGATTGCACAACTGGGTCTTGTTGTAAGATCCTGTTTATCCTTTATCGGCTCTTAATCGACAGAGCAACAACTGCTCTGAGAGCTCGTAAATATCTGGCTCCTTGGGAGTCAATGCGTATTAGTTGAACAACAGGATCATCGTTGCCTCATTCGTATTCTGCGATTTTCGACAATACTCTGCTTAGAACAGCGGACGACTTCAGATTGGCTGTGACTTTGGCAGATTAACAATATTATCTAGCTAACAATCATAATTAATAGCACTATCTAGTTGTGCATCCGAGGTGCTAAGTTGATGTGTTACTTAAGTTGAGGCTAGGCTCAGGAATAATAGTCATATTGACAAGATCGGCACCCCTTCGCCTGAAGATGTTGGACTCGGCGATTATTAAGAGACAAGTTTTGTCGATACAGACTACAGTGCCTTTCAAATAACAGGTTAAATCTAGTTTAGCAGCCGTCTCCGATAATGAGATGAATGAAGCCTTATAGGAAGGTTTTTTGTCATCGGAAGATGACACAACCTTAAAGTGGCTCTGGCCAACTTGGCAGTCACTAAATACATAGAGAACACGCGAGGTTCATCTGTGTACACTGTAGATGCTAGAAGGACTTGTACATTTATTAATGTACGTACATTTGGTTCAATGAGGTGCATGCTCTCCTACACGCTAGACAGGGGGGTAAAACCCGCCGACGATAATTTCTATATGCTTTAATAATTCGGCAGGAATTTTGTAAAGTGTAAGCCAGAATTTCGTATACTACTGTGTCGTTGCATAATCGGTAACATCGCACGGCGCGAGATCACTTAAGTGATTTGCAAACAAAAAAATCGGTGGCCCTATTCTGAAATACGACAACAAAAAAAGTTTGCCAATTGTTTCGTGTAACGTTTTCAATCTGTCGTCGTGTAGCTGACTTATCGTGCGTGCTTATACCGTTATTATTCATTGGTTTAGTGCTGAGGGGTTTATTTTAAGCCAAACCTGTGTCGCAGTCGAATTTATTTAATTCAAGCACTTTTATCTTGTACCTTCTCTATGTTGTGCTTGCAAAAAAATAGTGCTTTGTAATGGGCACATCTCCGTGTGTTGCTAGGACACTCCGAATGTCCTTCTCAAATATGTCAAAAAAGTTTGTTGCAGTACAGCGTACCTATCCTGTGGCCTGTGGTCCTGGCTTCCAGCAAGGGAAAATGGCTGAATAATCGCTTTTTAAGACGCATATATATATATATATATATATATATATATATATATATATATATATATATATATATATGGCAAAAGAAGCCTTCTCTTTTTATTAGCTCCGGCCGATTTTTACAATGGTTTGGCGTAACTTTGTCCACTAAGAGCAGAGGTCCAAATCAGTCGTTTAGCGAGGCGGCAACAACTTATAATGCATGAATCGATTCAAGTCCTATCCAACACATACTGTCATGTTGTCGTTAGTCTGGGCTTTACCACCGATTAAAGAGCACGTTTTTATTTGCGGATGATTACCCCACGTAATCTACTCTTCATCATCACCCGTAGTCTATTGCTTTAGAAATGACCTAATGTCATTCCGTTTCTGTAAAGTTTCCCAGATGAAGCACGATCGAGTTCTTATTCTTAGACCTCAACTCATGTGACATCAAACTTTTCTGTAACTAGCTTCCTTCAAAGGGCTTAACGCTACTTAATAATGCTTAGTTCCCCGCGATATCATGGCTATTTACGTGTCCGTGCTGCCCAACTTCCGGAACCGTTTCATCATTTTTTTCGGCAGCATGACGGTATTCACACTGCTAATGAATATATCATCACCTCAATAAATAATTGGAAAAACATCATAGTTCATTCAGCTTGATACACTACTACATATAAACAATGAAGTCATCAATAGGAAGTATTATAGGTTTTGCCAAACGCTATCAAAGGACTTACGTTTTTACGCATGTGTTCGCAAATGAAGTTACTCTTCCTAACAAACACAGCTAAATCACCCCGTTTTATACCGAACTTTTTACGCGTGCCCACCTTCCGACATTCGTTGCTCGCAGTGGGGTACAACGTCCCGAAAGTATAGTCTGAAACGTATAAATCAGTCACCGGGTCCCCTATTTGGCATTCGATCGCTATGCTAAATGTACAAAAAATATTAAAATAAATACTGACCCAGGACGAAGAATAAGAGATTCGCGTAAACTGAGTTGAGACTGCGCTAGAACATACAAGCCGAAGCCTCATCGTGCTACATACCTAGTTGTGAGGCGTGTTTTCCGTACGTTAACCTTTAAAAGGACTAGCGTAAGATTGATTAATAACAAATTTTATTTGAAATTGACTGAGAAGAAGATTTATGGTACAAACTGGATTAACTACGTCAGTAGTGATACACCATTACCAGAGTACCACAGTGTTTTAATATTAGTCTGTAATGAACGAATAGAGCTATATAAACGAAAACGCCGGACGAACACATCCAGTTCTACTTCCATGTCTAAATCATCATCATCCAGTAATAATTCAAATACGGCATATTTTTGCACGTTTATTACATCGAATCGAAGTTATTTTTCATTCCAAAGAAAGCATTAGTCGACGAAAAAAACACCGAAAGTATTTATGCCGCACATATTTCTTCCCCGGCGAATCTTGCCATAACCATTGACACCCCATTTGTCGCCCCATGAGTTCTTAATGATCCAGTAGTCCTTTCCTTGCTGGGTACCGTAGCCGACAAGGAGGACTGCGTGGTTAGGACGAGCATTGACAGATTCGTCGTTATCATAGACACCGTCTCCAAGGTCATCGAAAAAGCGTTTCCATTTGTTATCTGCGGCTAAGGCAATAATTAAGGGTCCCTTCGAAACAAGGATCTCACGGATTCTGTTCTCATCACGAACCCTAATGTGCCTGACATGGAGCTTGCCTTTGACCACATTGTTGATGGGCTCATAAAGCATGCACGACCCATGCCTTCCGTTTTTGCCAGAAGTATAAGGGTAAGTATTCTCCAAGACAATATCCTTGCTATTATAGTACTGGAGGACGGCAGAGGGCCATCCACCCCTGCATCCATTGTTGAATCTTCCGCCTGCATAGGTTTTGTAGGAGCAGTCAATAATATCTTGTTCAGAGAGGTCGAGGTCCATCTGATTCTTCCACTTTATGTAGGATTCGAGAAGAGAAGCTGCTGAAAAGGCGTAGCAAGATCCGCAGTACCGTTGGTTCTTGACGGGGGTAAGGATTCCCTGCTCTCTCCAATCAAAGCTTTCGGGAAGGCCGGGCATCATCTCAAGATCTACGTGGGGAATCTCCGAGGCGTTGACGGCGGGCACAAAGCCAAGAGCATATTTGCGGAACTCCTCGTGGGTCAGATCTGAGTACTGGCTATGTTGGCGAGAATAGGATTCTTGACCAGCAGCATACCGGACATTGTGAGCCTCAATCTCGGCATCCTTTTTCAAGAAGGCTTCCATTCGTTCAGGCTCCTCATGAGGAGGGTGCTGTTTCGCTGAAAAAGAACAGAAAAAAAAAATTTGCCCTATGAACCCTTTAAGACTACAATACTCTATCTACGACCCTAAGTCTCAATTTAATAGTATTACAGACTGACGAGGGATTCCCTGTATCAACAGCGAGTATTTCCGTTCGGTCAGGTGCAGACGCTTACCATGTTGGACTTTGAAGTTTTCCCACTTGGCCAGAACTGTCGGGTTGGCAAGAGCTCTGGAAAGCAGCAGAGCAAAGACGCATGTCGAGGAAGGCCTCATTTTAGGTACATTCCACTTTTGAAAGGAGTTAGTTCCAATGGAGTCTTAAATATGTTAGCGAACAATAAGTGATCGCTCATAGGATGTGACTACTCAGCACACTGACTAAAATCATGCGGATCATCGACCAGCATTTCCGTAAAATGGCAAACACTATTCTCAAAATGATACGCCACTTCTGGTAAATATTTGTCAGCCCTACCTCTATACATAAAATTCGAGATATATATACATATACATATATTCGATATGTTCGAATATATATTCGAGAGTCTAGTCTTTCTCAAAGTAAGCTTTTAGACAGTACATTTCCTGGCGCTTAATCTTTCCGTTATAGATTTGTTATTAATAATACTGTTATTAAAAATCGTAATCGGTCACCTTCTGGAATAAGCTTGAACTTCTTAGAAGTTCAAAAGCTTTAAAAAAGTATCTTCGAGAGATATACACCGATGCATCAGCTTCTTCTCCATCTCTTGTATGCGAGCTATCAGTCAAATGATACCCTGTAACGGTATTTATCTGATATGAAAAAAGTATCATCCATTCAATATCAACGGCAATAACTTACACTTAAAAACTCTGTGAAATACATCCCTCCTTGCATCTCCACTCACGGTCGTATGTAAAATAGATTTATATGGTTCATTCTTTTATGTACTTTAACTTGTGTGTCCGACTGAATTTGTCTGATACAGCAATAACATTCTACGTTTCTTCCACCAAGAAAACATAGCTCACTATTCGCATACGTAGTTACAAACGTCTTACCAAATTATGCTTTGCTTGAACTTTGCGATGCACGGGTATCAACGCCTCATACATACGGTATATCTCATCGACTTGTTTTTTTTTTTATTTATCGTTTTGTCTTTCTAACTCCTTTCAAAGAATCTCTGAAACGACAGCTGAGTCTAGCCATGGGTTCACCGAAGGTTGGCGTCTAGAACTTTTTTCTTTAATGGTAAGTCAAACTACTAATACTAAAATTGACAATCAAGGGCACTTGAATTCAAGTCCAAGGAGCTGATAAAAATAACTTATGCATCGCTGTGTCAATTGTGTAAATCTATTTGGGATTTGGTAAGTTTCTCTAGGAATTCAAGATAAGAACTTTTTAGGAATATCAATGTTCTGTACAAAGCAATATCCGTCCTCTCCAAGTTACAGTCAGACATACGACAAACTTAACGACAAGTGGCCAATGCGTATTTCTGTTTAGTAAAAGAGATACATCTTGCTGTTGAGAAACCCTATTAGCGATCATCTCTTATTTCGAGTAGAGCGGTCATAGCCCCCCAAGCTTAACAATTCTGTGCAATGTATTAGCCGTGTGCGATTTTTACACTGTCGTGTGCGGCCCGAAGACATTGGTCTGTCTAACAACGTATCCAGATCAAGTATTTCAGCTGTTTCCATCAGATGGCCGTATCTAATCTGTTGAAGGAAGACCAAATCCTTTCAGTGACACCTTTAAAATCAGTCTATGTTTGCAGCATGTCATTTTCAGAAATACCGCTAATCTCGCCATTTTATATTTTACTGGGGACAAGGTCATATCGATTGGATTCGAGCCTCGTCAACGGCTCATTGCATTCTATCTAGTCTTAGTCAGCAAGGAGAGATCGTGACGAATTATGATTGGGGATAACCTTTGCCAGTTAACATAGTTATTGATGGCAATGGTTTATCAGACCTCGGTATATCCATCAGTGTCGTAAGTTCTTACGCACCTAGAATTTTTCGTTATGCGCAGAGTCTCTCAGTAGATTTCGCATGGGTTTTTTGAAGGTGTTCCGTAGAGCCTTTTACAAGAGCAAAGGATCATAATTTACTGACGAGGGCTCACTGTCTCGTCAAAGGACAGTCTAGAATGAATGGAATTCCCTCTGCTCACTAAACATTATACTAAACGGCGACATAGTTAATGAAGAAAAGGTTCCCCTTAAAAAAAAACTATTCCAGAATGCAATGTCTCGACATTGGCGTGAGTGACGTAAGACACTGGACCAATATCGCGCAGTACTATGGTGTGAGCTTAGATGATTAAAGATGCACGCTTAATTTTATACTAGTCGGTCGAGCCTGCATCTGACCCCAAGGTAGGTAATTAAATGAATCAGTACGTGAGTATTTAATTATAAGAAAAGCATTTAAAAAGACGCGCCTACAGGACAACTGAAACGAAGACAGCGAGGCAGCTAACGAAAAGGCGTGCAGGATTAAATTAGGCCCAGAAGTCCATTACGCAGCGGGGGATCAGCCGTTGGCTTTTAGGAAAAAGGATTGCAGTGTGAAATAACCATTTTTCGATTCGCGAGGGCACTTGCAGAATAAAGAGGAACAAGATGAAGATGATGATTTATCGGGATTGTCAGTCGTCTAAGAATCTTTTTAATTCTAACGCGGTGCGCAGCCACAACGAATATAAGTTCGTGTATAATTTCAGTTAAACTTCACTTACTTAGTTTTGTTGATAATAGCTAAATGCTTTATGTTTCTTTTTTCACGTACCTCAAGGTTCGAGTGAGTATACAGAAACATTAAACCACTTTGCGTCGTATGGTTTATAGGCGTCTTGTGGTGTTCATACAGCTTTGTCTAAAAGATCCGCTCGGTCCTCCTCTGCTACCATCTTTAGGGAGTCTGGAAAATCTCTTGAACTAATTTTACAAGATCATCGCAACTTTTCTGCGTACAATCATAGATATTAACCATATCATGCCAATTTATTTGCTAGTTCATGTATGTATTTGATAAGACACACCCGTTCCATAATTGTAGGTCGAAGTTATCCCCTACGTTAGATTCACGAGCTTTATGTCCGGTACTGCTTTGGCTACGTGTTACTTAGTACAAGGTCAAGTGTGTCTACGATCGCCTAGGATCGCGCCTAGGTCACTGCGGGCGCGTATGTTTACTCCGTTAACGTGTGACGTCAAAGCAATTGATCGGAAACAAAATTTAAAGAACCTACAAGTACTTGATTATAGCAAAAGAAGGTTATAGTGACTGCGCTCAGCCCGCGTTGTACGTATTTGTTTCACTTCGTTGATTGACCGGGGGATGAATAGGTATGCTACCTTCACATACATCAGATTTCAGTGTTGAAACCTGTGCGTTTCGACATCCGTGACAATTTTGAACCTGAAAGTCGTCTCTGCAAAGGACCTATCGAATCCGAGCATTTTTTTTCCCGGATTTTTTAGTCGATATCTAGTTCGAAGTCTAGACGATGACTTGTCTTTGCCGCTGTAGTTTCGATACGACAGATCGAATTTTCGATCTTCTGTGACTCACTACATTTTACCTGCTAACAGCTTGAGTGAACAATTTAATTTGAAATTAGGGAAAAAAAAACAATGCTTGTTGTATTAAACGACCTAAGCAGACTCTATTTCACCTTGAGCCATTGTCTTTGTTAAGTTTTATTTAAATATGTTTAGACACATATTATACGGTGCAACATGTGACATTTTGTGTTGATTTTGTGCCATTTTTTTGAGGATACGCGCCCATATATATGGTAGTAAATTGTTTTCCGGAAAACTGTCAGTTAGGCTTGACAGTTAGCGAAGAATGATCCGACAAAAAGTTTAAAGGTTGTATGCCCAGAACCTTTCCGGACTCTACCTAGTCGTTAAGGCATGCTATTCAATCAATGAACGTACGTCGCCACCCTGAGCCGATATTCGTATGATCATTACAATATAGGTACACTTTTTTACCTTTTTGCAACTTCTAGTAAGCAAGTTCATCGATTATAATAGGCAAACTATATATTCCAGTGACTTCTGAGATCGATTCTAGATTGATAGATTTATAGAGGATCGTGTTAGGAGATAAATAATTAGTTTTGTGCCTGATCATCGCAGCCAATATTCAACATGAATTTCTTCTTTGGGAATAGGCATAAGATATGTACAGTATAAACCATTAGGCTTAAAGAAACATCCGCCTCGCAGGTAGTCTGGCAGCAACCAAAATGAAGCGCATAAGATGTAAGTTTCTAGGAAACTTTAGGTTTTGTGTAAGTTACATAGTTCTAACTTTATAGTTAGTTGTTATTTGATCTTGGAAAACTCATGCATTGTGTGCCTTGATACGCAAGGAAGGTACGACACCCCTTTCGGAAAGTAGCGTTGAAAATGCCTGTGTTGAAAAAATGTTAGACTTTATAGTTATAGACACTGATTTTCCCCAGCGGCTGAATTTTACATTTTAGAACTTACTCACTTGTTAATTACAGTAAACTATATCTGGTTTCGGAAATTTCTTCTTGTTTCACAGAAGGTATGGCTGCGCTTTTACCTGACACAAGTATGGTCCAGTAACGATATTAGTACACTTATATTGATAATAATTACATTGATTCCGATGGTCAGTTCGAACCGTAGCAGAATCAAGGTTAAACTTATAACGAACATTTTTGAAACAACAAAGAGAAAAAGTATAAAATACCGTGTATTGTATACAACTAAATCAGTGTTTTTTTGTAGGACAACGGTGAAAATTCATTTTAAAGAAAGGAGCATGTCAACTCCAACAAACATTCTAATTTAGGATGATGATAGTCATTATTTTTTCAATGGGCCTTTAAGTGTGCGCTAGTTATTTATCGGTTTCTGATCAAAACAACACGAGGTGAATGTACATAGCTATTAATCGTAGCGCTGACCATTGATTTATCAATAATTGACCCGTCAAAAAGCTAAAAAATCATTTTGCATCAACCTGCAGCAACTACCTCAGTGTTATATTGTAAAATAATCGGCTCTCTACTGGTCACCATTCCGCTCTAGTAACCTAGTCAAACGCACGGAGGCGCCTACGCATTAGCGACTATGCGATGGAATAAAGAGGCAATTTGCTAAATATCTTGAGTCGGGGGGATCAATAGGACCTACTTCGATATGTCCTTCGTCAGCTCGTTGCCATCAATCAAACAAAAGGCCGTCGCTTCTACAGCCGACGTTGATATCTCCGTTACATCAGACACCGACACAAAAGAACAAAGGTAAAGCGCGTGAAAGAAACCTAGACCAAAATACTATGCGACACTAGTGAAGAAGAAGACGGCGAGTACTAAGATGGTGGCCACGGCTCCACTCAAGCTGTAGGCACCCGAGTGTGGGTGGACATTGGCGATTGGTACAAATAACGATGGAGAGAGCGGTGCCGCCACGTAATTGTGAGAATAATAATGAAACGTCCTGCAATCCAACAAATGAAAGTCAGGACGCGGGTATTCGAGGAGACAAACGAACGCAAACAGGCCTGATAGGACGAGACAGCAGCGGACAAGAGGGAGTCGTCCCAAGTAGCAAAACTGTGCGAAAAAGATGAAGCGGTCGGTTCATTGAGTCGCTAATGGAAGTCTCACGTTCGTATACTATGCATTATTTACTATGATTTGACTAGCAGCGGAGAGGGGTGTCCAAATGCCCATTCTAACCCCCCAACATAAGCCTAGCTGCGGTAGTCAGCGTTATCCCAGCTTTCCAATATTATCCCTCATCGCAGGCGTCTACCGCATACCCACATCGACTTTTGTTCCACCATCTATGGCCGAAGCGGTCGGTGGCACCGTGATGCTTCTAGCCTCGTCCATTATCTGTCGTCGATACTCCCTTTATTTTATCGAGATCGCAATACGTATTGCGAATGCTGAGGCTATTCCGAAGACGCGCGAAGCTGGTGAAGAGTTGGCGGGAAGATGCTAAGCTGACGGTAAGATAATCTCGAAGCCAAGATGGCTCAACTCAATCTATAGGGAACGAAGGCTGAGACTAAGGATATGTAAGAGACACCACTCGATTATTGAACATCATCATACGGTTGCAGTCTCTTCCTTTGCTTTTATCATGGATGTATTTTGATGTGTTTTGGCTGCGGTCTTACCTGCTACACTGGGCATGATAAGCAGATATATAAACAGGCATGATTTTGGAGAGAAGAGTTTCCATAATATTACCGTACTTGCACACGGATGCAACAGATGTATTTGTAGTAGAAGAGCTGAACGCACGTAGATAGCATTAGAATGACTAAAGCTATACAGAGTTTTGCTACGTATTTTCTAATTGTATTAATCTCGGCTGGTCAACCGATCGTTACAAACACGAGCGACTGCATGAAAAACACGTTTTTTTTGAACGTAACGAAAAAATGACACCCGCTATAGACTTCTTGTATCACCCGTGTTATGGAGCGATAGACGAGAAGCGGTAACAGTGCGCAGTCAATTGAAGATGTGAATTGCATTCCAGAATTTTCGACGTAAAAATGTTGAGGATATAGCAGCAATAATAGGGCAATTAGGTGTTCGTCCTGTTAAAATCTGTACAAGAGTAGGCTCTTTATTAATATTCATCTTGTAGCCATATTCGTATTTATCCGGCAATATCTCCTAGTAAACATGACCAGGGTTAATGTCAAAAACGACCTTCTTTTATTACTTTGTAACACTTGTATGCATCTATAAACACTACACCGGACGAAGAAGCCAATCAACCTGATACAGTATGGTTTGGGTTTGTGTTACATTACCTCAGTCAACCCCACTGACTTCTATCATTCCTTCGTTATGTAGCTTAATTTCGTCTTATTTCTCGCCATACATTTTATCTTAGGGTTGCTCGCGTCCATCGGCACACGCAAATCTGTTCCATACGGCCACGTGTTGTTCTCGTGTTCCTTACTAATCTAATCCTAAGCGTCCTGTTTCTGACGTGCTTACCTAACCGTCCTTAATGTTCGTAATAACCAAGTTGCAGTAGTAGCAGCGGTTTCACACGTGTAGGTTTTTTTTTTGCTAGACAGACTCAATCATGGTTTCTGTCGTTTGTGTCATAAAGGCGCTGTCCTTAGGTCTCGACGCGCCTCACTCACCTTACTCACAAAGGTGACGTCCAGTGGAGCCTAGAATGAGCGAAACAGAAACTTGGCCAAGCAAAGACGACGTAATTCTTTAGAGTGGCAACATAACGTCGCTGTAGTTGTACCCAGCGCCGTTGCTTCTGCTGCTACTGACTAGTCTTTTGAGGTCCACTATGAAATGGCGTCATCATGGCCACGCCAGTAAAGGGAGCCTGTGGAATTTGTGGGTCCTAATGGCTTTTTTTAACTAAGAGACGAAGTAAGTGCTATGGACCCCTGCGTGTTATCCTATCTAAAATTTCAATCCCTAGAAATACTGAAGGCAAAGTCAGAACGTAAGTACCGACCGTTCAGAGCAAGGAAAGGATCCTTTTTACGGCCTTACCGGCTATACACGACACACAACACGTGCCGTATGGCTAACAAATCATCAACCAGTCAACATGGTGGGACCGTCTCACACCGTATGACGCTGTTAACTGACTTTCATCCACGCGAACGTTAAGGGAGACGCTGGCCACTATGCTACGTATTACCCTTGATAAAAAGATCAGCAATAACAATGCACTCAGAGCAACAACGGTCTTGATATAGGCACGGATGCTAACGCAATAACAGCTAGGGAAACAACGATAGCTTAATCAAGGGTACTTTGGTCATATTTCCTGCCCAGAAGACACTGTTACATAAAGGCAGTTAACGATATAGTGTTGTATCGTGTTGTTGGGCAGGATCAACTTGATAATATCCAATGCCATATATATATAAATAGTTCCAAGTTAAACAAATACCTAGGGTTTTCTAGAACAGTATAAGTTGGCAAAAAAATACTGACAGTGAAATATACACTTAGCTCAAAAATACTCAAATAATGAGGTAATCATTCTTGTTGGTAATCTATAATTTTTTATGCTGCATATCTGTAGGCGTATCTAATAATCTACACAAGTACATACTTGGCCCACAAGTGTTAGGAAATCCTTTATTAAATTTCCTCCTAAATTATGCACATCAACAAAACCTTGGGCGCCGTTATTATGCAGAAGATAGCAATATGTCGCTTGCCTCCCCGAGTGGGCCGGCCAATCGTACCCAGCATCGACTGGAACCGAAAGCATTTTCAGACCTTCTTAAAACATCGTCATCTACTCCGGCTTGTTCGGTGCGTTGTTTTTCGGCTCTAAAAGTCCTAGTGGCGAGCGCACCGTTCTTACAGTAGCAAACTTCGATCCAAACCTGGCAAAAAGATCTTGAGAGGGCCTTACTTTCTCCGTTTCAGCAAGGACATGGTCTCCTATGTCCTTCCACGGTCTGTGTACGGTACCCAGGGGCATGTTTATCGACCACTTGTTTCTTGTATTTTTCGGCTGACAACGAACAACGATGTGCGCGACCTATTCAACTATAATGAATCAGATATGCTAAACGATACAAGTCCTGTTCCACTAAAGTTTTTAATTATAAGCCTTTGTGTGGTAGTATTGTTTTGTCGAAAATAATAACTTCAGAATAGGAATAGAATCGTTTTTGGAGCAGCTTCTCAAAACGGTGGAATCAGCAGTAAAATTAATCCAATATGAAACAGACAATTTTATATTAATGCTATCGAAGAACAAAAGAAACTCAGTAATTTCTAAAGCGCTCACTAACAGTCATTACTTGAATTCTGGAACCCGTTAAGAAGTCTACTCCCTGTGGCACGATGGCGAGCAAATCGGATTAACCTCTGATAGGGGATTAGAATATTTTTTTGGCAAGATAGCCATTCCAGGGTGTGTTATTACAAAAAGTGCCTCTTTCACCGCCTGGTCACAGTACATTGGTTACGAGAATTCGCTCTATAAGACGACAGTTTTACAAACCCTGGCGGGTTCGATACTTAGTTAAGGAAGTAAGATCTATATGAGTTGTCTATTTTAATCCACCACAAAGTTAATTGTTGATCAGCTGTATAATATTTGTACACCACTATTATACCTGCAAAATTAACTTAAAATCAGTACGTACAACGCCTGGAAAAATATGTCTATTGCCTGCTTCTAGCCGAAACTGCGATAAACACCCCAAGAATGAAGCTTGCGTTCGCTTTACAACTTTTACTCTACCTAGTATAATGGTCCGCGGTCCACACCGTGAACGACAGCGTGCTCGCAACGTGACGGCTGGTAGATAGGCAAGCGTCGTTAAATTTGACTTTTTTTTAGCTGTTTGCATTGGCGGTACATTTGGCAGTTGGGCATAATGATCTCGCAACATTGGCATTTACTATCATAAGAAGACTATCGAAAAATGTTGATGTGATGTATCTGAACTCTGAAAAACTAACGTGATGAGCACTTGACTGGATCGTGGGGCGTACGGCAAGTCCCATCTGGGGCAAAATATAGTAACTCTGC